GGAATTATTTGGTCTATTGTACTGCACTTCAAACTGCAGTAGGCAGAAGTACAAATGTGCAGCCTTCATGCTCAGTAATATTTGCAGTAACAGAATTTTATTGCAGGATAAACCGCTTGGAAATTCCTTCTTGGTAATTTATGTGAAAATCAGAATTGCCACTAGCCAAAATTCCTCCATTCAAATGCCATCAAATCTGCAATGAGCTTAATTAATGAAGATAAAGGCAGCATTTGCCTCGTTAAAATGAGACATTAATTGTCTGAAGGTGAGGATTCAGCTTTAAGGTTAGACAGCATCTGCAGCTGCTCTTCAGGAGGAGCCTTCCCTCAGCTGGAAAGATAAAGCAGAGACCAAGGAGACTCTTCAAAAGCTATTAAAGGTTTCTTGCAAAAAGAATTTGAATATAACAGCACTTCTTGCACTTGGGGAATTCAATATTCAACTGGTGAGAGCACACTCACTGTGGAAACCCAGACTCCTGGAAATCCATGACCTTGGAGAAAGGCTGGGATGCCAACAAAGGTCTTGGAACTTAAATTTATATCCAGCTTCAAGTTTATACTCAGCTGACCAGAAAGCACAGATCCTCATGAAGGAGATTTTTTTCAGCTCTCCTAATTCCAAGTGAATGGATTAAATGTGGTCACCCCATCCATGAGTGCCCAAGGCTACAGGAGGAATAAAGGAGCTGCAGAGGAAGGCAGGATTTACAGCAAGAGGTGAAGGCCCTGCAAGAATCAAAAACTGCAGGAAATTACACCTGGAATTAATCTATAACTTCAGCACAGCTGAGTTTGGCACTTTCACTCTTCACGTTGTCCTGCATATTTTACTTATTTTTATCTTTGAAGTTGCTCTTCACAGTAATCTAAAAATAATAATTCTAAAGTGTGTGTTTTGAAATGTTGAACAAGGCAGACGTTTTGAATATATACATACATATACATATATAAAAAAATATATATAATATAAATATAAATATATATACAATACACACACACACACACATATATATATATATAAAAATAATGCTCACTAATCACCTTTTTGCTCCCCCGACACTTCAGATAAAAGCACAACTCTCAAGGCCAGTTTCTCCCTTTGTAACTAACTGAGCCCAAACTTTCTGGCAGTGCAAGGAATGCTGGTGGTGCTGCACAAGCCATCCCAGCTAAACAATTCTGACAGTCACCACTGGCATAGCTGCACTTGAACATGATGGCTGGGCATGTATAATGCACAAAAAGGAGATTACTATTAATATGCAAAAGAATTATGCATCAAAAGCCAGGCTGGCTCTGGCTGAAGGCTGTAACTCTTAATGAAAACTGAATTTGAACAAGAGTAGTAAATGATGTTATTTATTTTTTTTTCCTTACAAATGGACTTTTACCCATAAAGAAATTCTCCAGCAAAGACTAAATGTGAAGGGGATATTTCTGCTCTCCTTGTGGCATGATTTAATCCCAACATCAGAGCAGTAAGAACACAGAAGGTTTGTTTTCATGCTCTTTGGGAAATAAAGAAAGAATCATGATTTCCAATTTCATAAGTCTCCTAAACTTGATACTCAAAGAGAGAACTGTGAATCTGATACATGACATTGCTGTGCCTGAGGGCTTAACAGTTTATTTCTGTATTAGACTGAGAAAACAAAATGAAAAAAATGAAAATGAAAGCAATAAAAATACCTCAATTGACATAAAGAAATACACAGAATATGATCTAGTTTTTAACTCAAATGGACTGCTGAATAAGGAATTAGAAGAAAAATCTCCCTATTGGCAAGTTTTAGTATAAAGTGACAGATGAGGAACTAAGCTTCAGTGCCCAAAAAATTTCTATATATTACATACTACATCTACATTACATCGATATTAATACTACATATTAGTAGTGCATTGGATGGGGTTTTTTGTTTGTGGTTTTGTTTGGTAGTTTTTTGCCAAGGCTTGCAATGGCTGGAGGAAAAAAAAATAATATTTATTTTTGTTTTTCTCTATGTAAATAAAGTGCAGCAAAGCCAGTGTTAGGAAACACAGTTTGTGATGGCAGGGAGTCAGAATTTCAGGAGAGAAAGTTAATCCAAGTGGCGTCTCCAGCCTCACCCTGGACAGGACGTTTGAAATGTGCCCCTTCATCTCCTGAAGGAGAAAAAATTTTATGCATTTACACACAGAGTCCTCCTTGTTTCGTTTCTTTGAACTCTCTCTTTATTCACAGCTTTCCTTCCCCTTCAACCACCCTTCAGAAGTTGTTTTTCTGTTAAACCTCAGAAGATTCAGGAACATCCATTCCTGGGGAGGAGAGCAGCTGGTCTCAGCAGAGAGAACAGCAGAGCACTGTGAGGGAGGGAAGAAAGCAGAGCCTGTGCTCTGCAGGGCTGGAGCAGCCCTTGGTGCCTTCTCCTGCTCTCCAGGAACAGGAAAATGAAGCCAAAAATGCACAAAAGTGGTCAGAAAATGCAGAAAATGCAGCTGCCTCACAAACTGCAGGGAGGTTTTTACACACTCATGAGACGTGGGTTCACAAAGGCATCAAACTGCTCATCAAATTCCTCCTCTCACATTCCAGACAGGAATTCTACCCCAGTTCCCCAAAGATCAAGCGCAATCAGCACTTTCAGGAGGGGTGAAAGTCCTACAAGAATCACAAGTTGCAAAAAGTTACACCTGGAATTAATTCATGACTTAGCACAGCTTAGTTTGGCACTTTCATTATTGATGTTGTTCTGCATGTTTTACTCATTTTTTTCTTTGAAGTTGGTCTTCAGAGTAATTTAAAGATAATAATGCTAAAGCTTGTGTTTTAAAATGCCTCTCCTAACAAGGCAGACATTTGGAAACCCCACATATACAAATATTTAATACTCAGGAATCACCTTTTTGCTCTCCAAGGTAAATGGACAAAAAACCCCCCATGGGATCATTAGTCACACAGATATAATCATACTTCAATAAACAAAAACCCAAGGGCCACTGGTGGCTTGTTTTTTCATTAAATCCTCTCACATTCTCCTCTTTGATGAACTATGAAGATTCACAACAGATAAAGGAAAAGCGATTCAATATAGGACACTGCAATAAGGGGCATAGTTTGAAATACATTATCTGCAAAGACAGACAATGTCAGGGTTCATAAGCCAAGATCAGCATCATCTCCTTTTCTGCAGCTGTGATGTTATTTCATAACACTGAACTGCACACAGCTCTTTCAAGAACTGTCTTTTTGCTTATAGGCAGAGCAAAAGAAAAATGGTTTTCTATGGGCAGGCAGAATACCTGCTGATCTGTCTTAATAAGAGCTTAAAACAAAATTCTCCAAACTGTTTGACAACATGTTTCCACATTTACATTGTGCTCTTACTAAAATCTGCTTAGAAATTAATTCAGCTCCAGGACTCCCAAGTGGATTTTAGGTCCACTGAAGAGATTCATGCAACTGAAGCACACGGGTGATGTTAGCATGAACACATGCCCAAATAACAGGTTTTTATGTCAGGATTGAGCCTTTCTGCAGAGTTTTGAGATGGGCCAGGCAGCTGGAAATGCTCAGCTCCTTGAACTACGTCTGGCTCAATTCTTGTCTCTGCAGGTGCTGACAGGGACTCCACAGAACCTCCCCAGTGACACCAATCCAAATTAAATCTGGGATGTGCATCCTTGATGGGTGCTCCAGGCTCCCAAGCGTGCCAGCTGGCTTTTGGAAACAGGAAAATCAGCTTTTCACTTGACTTCTAGCTGGCTCTCCAATTTACCAACTCCCCATGGCCACTAAAATGACATTTGGCATGTACCCAGCTGTAGGGAGTCACCTGAAATGGGTGCAGAGAGGGCTGGGAGGATGAACACTGGTTTAACAATGCCACTTCCCTCTCGTTAAAGTCCTGACTAAGCCAAAAACAAATCCTGGCCCTCTGAGCCTCCATGAGAAGATAATCCACCTACCCTGGAGCTGTGTGCAGGACCCCAGCCCTCCTGAGCACACACAAGGGATGGAAGGGGATGGGAAGGGGATGGGAAGGGGAGGCTGGCACAGCACAGGACCAGGAGGAGATCCCAGCCAGGGACAGCCCAGGGCAGCCACAGCACTTCCCTCCTGCACTGGAGTTCTTGGAAAGCAAACTCATCTATCCACAGCAGGTCCTGGGGATAAACCACTTGATTTTCATGCTCCACAAAGGGCAGGCACTGCCCTGCTCCCAGAGCTGTGCTGCCCATCCTCAAGAGGATGCACAGGGGGCATTTGGGCACTGCCTTGCTCTTGGCAGGCCTGGCAAAGTCAGAGGGCACAGAATTCACCAGAGCCAAGCCCTGAGGACAGGAGAGGAGCTGCTCCTCTCCCCTCACACCCTGGGCATCACAAGGGAGGCTGGAGCAGGAGAGAGGAGCAGAGAGATCATCACAGTGAGCCTTGTGCTGCTGGGAGTGAGCACTGAGCTCCAAAAGGGAAAGGAAAATGAATCTGCAGAGGGCTGGTGTGAGAGCAGAGAGGAGATCTCAGCAGCACAGAGGAGAGCTCAGCAGCAGGACCATCTCCAAACTCCCAGAATTGCCTGGCACAGCAAGAAAAGCCAATCTCTGCACCAATTCAGCAGTTCGGCAACAACCCGGGGCTGCTCCTCAGCAATAAAGCCCTTTCCAAAGCAGGGTTTTGGGAAAAGCTGCAGCAATCAGCCTCAGCAAGAATCTGAAGTGTCCAGTTAAAGACAAACACACATTGCAGCTCTTCCATCATCACCCACCAACAGCATCCTCAAGGTATCCCAGTATCTTCTGCCTGCTTGGAAAGCACATCTCTACCTGGCAAAGGCTCTTTCCATTCACTCCCTTTTAATATTTTGCATTATTTAACATGTCTATTGCATGCTTGGTTTCTAAACTCTACATAACTTGTGCATTTCAAAGCCTCTGGGTTCTCCTCCTCAAGTGCAGCTGAAACCTTGAATCTGGGAACTCATGCACGGCTCTAAGAGAGAAATTAGAGATGGTTGTTACCTGCAAGGCAGCCAACAAATGACACCAGGAACAGCTGCTCCCACAGCAGCAGCAGCAGCATCTTCAGTCTCCTGGATTCAGTAATTCTGGCTGTCTCACAGAACTGTGTGTTTGAGTCTTTCAGGTGGCAAGGATTAACCTGTTAAAAGAACAGACATAAAATTGAATCCTTGGTGATCCTTAAGAACCAGCTTCCTTGATAAAGCACTTTTAAATAAATACAAAGTTGACATATCCTTTAATATTCCTTTTTTTCCAGGCCTTAATCCCCCAATCCACCAAGAAGGGTGCATCCATATTTCACATTTTTTCATGTGCATGAGGTGCTGGAAGTTTTATTCTCCAGCAGGAGCAGAGCTGACAGCAAAGTTGATTTTGCAGTTTCCCCAAGCTGCAGCACTGATTTATTTGTGAGACACAGTGGATTTAAAGGAAGGGAGTAGATGAGGTGCAAACACGCACAGTTCAGCACTGAACACATCTGGGAGGAGCAGCCTGTGCTGCACTTGCCTTGTGCCAGCCAGGCTGGCAGCAACACAAACCTGGAACTGATTTAATTAAAGCCATGTCCAACCCATCCCTTTTCTGATGTACTGGACTGTGAGGTGCTCACTGGAGGCTTTTTCAGTTTTTAATTCCTCTTTGGACTCCTGCACCAGGTGCAATGAACCAATTTACTGCAATTTCTACCTCTGTCACTGGCCAGATGACAAACCTTGTGCCCAGCCTTACCAACCTATGACATTATTTCACTTGTATTTTTTTCCTAAAGCAGCTTTACAGTAATTTTTCTTTAGATGCAGGACAACTCTGACCCATGTATTTTCTGGATGTCACTTCCACAGCATCCTTTTCCTTCAGAGGAAGGGGAGAGAGGCAGGACACAGCCCAGTCACAATGATTCCATCTGGAATCAGCCTACAGATGACTGCATGGCCATATTAAGGTCAAGAAAGCAACTACCAAATCTGAGGAGCCAAATCTGAGCTGCCTGAACTTGATGTTTCCATGTGAACTACCTTTTTTGGGGGGTTTTTAACATTAGAATTAAAAGTTTAATATTACTGTAGAACAAGTGTTTGGATTTGTAGCTAAACTCCCCAGAAAAATAAGTCAGATGGTCCTCTCTGATACATCCCCAGCTTGTGATTAGCCAGGAGAATTTTCTCTCCTCCAAAACACATCACCCTTTGCCACAAGGTATTGTGTTTGTGTGGACCCTCGTGGCAGGAAGGAATGATGAATCTGACTCCATGTTCTCAGAAGGCTAATTTATTATTTTATGATACTATAATTTATTATTTTATGGTACTATAATATATTAAAGAATACTATATTAAACTATACTAAAGAATACAGAAAGGATACAGAATGCTAAAAAGATAATAATGAAAACTTGTGATTCTCTCCAGAATCCTGACACAGCTTGGCCCCAACTGGCCATTGAGTCAAAATAATACACAGCAAAACCCAATCAAACAATCACCTGTGGGTAAACAATCTCCAAACACATTCCAAAGCAGCACAACACAGGAGAAGCAAATGAGATAATTATTGTTTTCCTTTTTCTCTGAGGCTTCTCAGCTTCCCAGAAGAAAAGCCCTGGGTGAAGGGATTTTTCCAGACAATGTGAATGCCACAACAAGGAGAGTATTTTTTCCTCATCCTGCCATCCCTGGGACCCACACAGAGCTGGCAGTGCCATCCTCCATCCAGCGCTGAAGCTCTTGCTCTCTCATTTCTCCCACGTGCTTCTAAACCACAAAATAAGCAAATCCAAGCCCACACATCTCTGTCAAACACCAGGCATTGATCCCCCAGCAAAGCTGGCACAGAGGAAGGCTCACAGCAGCAATTCCCAGGCACCTCAAATGGGAATATCCCACCCCAGGGCACTCCTGGGTACCATCTGAGGAGCCTCACCCAGGTTCTCACAGATCTCAGATGGAAAATGTTGGTGACACACAATTAAAATGTCATTGGTTTCCATAAGGAGCAATGGGAGTACAATAAATTCTGTTCATTTTGCATGGTAAAAACCTCAGAAGAGTGCTTTGGCAAAAAGTTAGCTCCTCACAGAATATCCTGGGTTGGAAGGGACCCCCAAAGACCCTGAATCCAACCCGTAGCCCTGCACAGGACACACCCTGTGCCTCAGAGCATTGTGCAAACTTTTATCTGAGCCAAACAAAAAGTGAGGTCACAAAGAAACCTGCTCTGTGGCAGATCTGAAGTTCAAGGCTTTCCTTTTCTCCTTTTCTCTTTGGTTTTTGGTTTTGCTTTCCTTAGCAAAGCAAGCCAACAAAAAAAACCCAAACTAACAGAATCAAAACAACACAAAACCCCACGAAAGAAGGCCAAACTGAAACAACAAAAACCAAACCAAACAACATAAAAAACTTCTTGTTGAAGCTGTAAACTTGGAGTTGGCCATTCCTCACCCTGTGTTTCCAAGGGGCACCCACAGAGCCTTCCCAAGGGATGTTCTCCATGGATAACATCAGCACCATCCCAGCCTCTGGAACCCAGGAATTCCACAGCTGCCCAAAGCAGAGAGAGGGAGGAGGTGAAGGATAAATATTAAAGTGGGTCACTCTTGTGTCTCAGCTTTCTTGCAGTCTTGCAAGGGAAAAAAACAATGGAGAAGCCAAATTAATTTGGTTTTGTTCTCCAAGCGCTCTGGGCAAAGCAGAACGTGATAGATCCATTTCAGGCCAGGAAAAAAAGCTGCTTTGGTAGAAGCTAAAAAAAAAATTGAAAAATTGAAAGCTTTTTATGTGGGTATAAAATCATAAAAATACATTTCAACCTCTGGCTGCATTGTATTTTAATAAATTTTAATATCTAAAAAGAGAATAGCAGCTACCAGCCAACACTGTAAGACTTAAATTACTTTAAACACTTCATTTTCCCTGTGTTCTGTGAGGTTTTGCTAATCTAGGATCTACTCCTGAATAGCACTGCTTCATTCTGAAAGCACCACACTTAGGAGTGCTCAGACTCCCAGCTCTAAGCCAGATAAATGCATCAATACTATCTGGTCTTTACAAAGATGCAAACCCAGATGTACACCCATAGTGTGAATTTATTCAAGTTCCTCCCCAGCTCACTGCTCTCCTCTCAAGAACAGGAACCCAAGGAGTTTTTCTCTGCAGAGGGAACATGAAGGGCTGCAAAGCAGAGCTGCCCCTGGCCAAGTCAGTGGATCAAGCTGTTCACAGAGCTTTGGTCAATGCCTGGCACTGGAGAGAGATTCTGCCTTGGACATTCCTCCAAAAAGGAAAAAAATAATCAAATTCTGAGCACCACAGCACCTCAGCCTCACTGTAACCTTTTATTTCTTACCCCAATGATCTAAAAATGAAGATGTTAAAATCCCCAAATACTGTATTAAAAAGGCTGCAGTGATTGCTTTTGGTAATAGACATATTCCAGTTATTTCTGAGATAGAAATAGCCTGCATCAAAGAAATCCATTGCCCATGCAGGGATCCAGAATCCAATGACAACATTGAGCATCTCTGTCACAGCTCCTCCACAGCCCCAGCTGTTCCCCAGGTTCAGCCCCTTGCCTCTGGATTTCGTGTTCAAAATGTCCCATTTTAATATTACATCAAAATTTAATTTGCAATATATCCATATTAAAATATTAACAATAATAAATTATCAATTATTATAAAATTATTCTTAATATTAAGGTCATTTTATGTTCCCCTTTACAGAAGCAGAGGGGCAGATCCACAACATCATCTGGGGGGGTTTTGAAAATAAGATTTAAACTGGCTCCCCCAAAATTCAGCACTTGTATGTAAAGGCCAGGAAGAATAAAGGCAAACAGCACCTGATGTGGTTGGAAAAGACTGTAAAGAAACAAAGTAATAGCCACAGAACATGCAAAAGGAAATAAAACTTTATTTTTAAATCAGAAAGCTTCCTATTATTAGGCAGTGCTCTGTTCTCAGAAGCCAAAGTTATTTCAAGGCAATAAAAAAGCAAAGCTGTGAAGTGGTGAGAAAAACCCCAGGAAAAATTAACAGATGACCTTTCTTTATTATGAATTTCTTCAACTTTCAGAGAAAAGTCAATTCTCATGAGTTGCTCCAACCATTTTCTTGATGGAAACAACCAGTTTTCCAGAAAAAAAAAATGCCCAAACAAACTGCCAGCCAAACAAATTAAGTAGGATGGGAGCACATACACATAGAAAAAAATTCAGCTACATTTTTTTTCCTTTAAAATTAACCTTCCAGGCCTTTGAACTTTCAGATCATATAATATGACAAAGGATGCACATGAATATCTGAAAGAAATAAAAAGTTTGGGAAAGGTTCAAGAGTCAGTAATTTTACTCAGTGACCTTAATTTTTACTATACAGAGTCAAACATAAAAAAGAAGTCGTTCCCTAAAGGTGGAATTTTTATTTCTATATATAGAGAACTGGGACTTGTCAGAGCTGGCTGGCAAGTTCATTTTAAACTTGGAGTTTGAGCAGGAGGAATTTGTAGAGTCATCGAGTCTAAATTAATCAGAAATTCCTGGCACTCAGGAGAGCTGTGGAGACCCAGAACTTTATTATTATTATTTTTCTGTATTGATCACAAAGCCCAGCACAGAAAATCAAGCGATATCCTGACACTAGAGGTCAGCAGACCTTTGCTAAGGCAGGGGATTATTAAAATCTCATAAAATCATGGAATTGTTTGGGTTGGAAAGGGCATTAAAGATCATTTCATTCCCACCATTGCCATGGCAGGGACACCTTCCACTGTCCCAGGGTGCTCCAAGCCCAACCTGGCCCAACATTCCAGGGATCCAGGGGCAGCCCAGCTGTGCCAGGGCCTCATTGGATAAAATGTGAGATTTACCCTCCAGTTAATGCTGGAGTCATCTCCACAGCACAGCACGAAAAGATGAGGTGCTGAACATCCTACAAGAAGCTCAAGCAGCACATTTTATTTAATTTTTGAGAGGGGAGTTCTATCCATTTCTGATTACCCTCAGAATGAAATCAGCAGTTGTGGATGTGACTCAACCCACCAGGTTTCCATGGGGGAACAGCTGAGCTGGGAATTTCCTCATCACTGAGTCCAACCTCTGCCTCCCACTGTCCCTATCCAAGCCTGAAGGCACCAGGGGCAT